GAAAGCAGCAAGAGAGAAACAGCTTATCACATAAAACTTTTCTTCAATAAGATTAACACTCAATTTCTCATCAGAAGCCAGGGAGGCCAGAAGGCAGTGGGATGACATTCAAAGGGCTGAAAGAAAAAGCCTATCAACCAGTAATTCCATATCTAGCAAAACTATCCTGCAAAAAATAAAGGTGAAATCAAGACTTCCCAGGTAAAATAGATTCCTCACTAGCGGACCTTCCCTACAAAATATACTAAAGGGATCATTCAGGCTGTAATGAAAGAAAATAGACAGTAACTTGAATCCACGCGAAGAAATAAAGACCAGCAATAAAGGTAACTGTATAGGTAAATATAAAAGACAGTATAGGGCTTCCCTGGTGGTGCAGTGGTTAAGAATCTGCCTGCCAATGCAGGGGACATGGGTTTGAGCCCTGGTCCAGAAGATCCCACATGCCGTGGAGCAACTAAGCCCGTGCGCCACAACTATTGAGCCCGTGCTCTAGAGCCCGCGAGCCACAACTACTGAAGCTCGTGCTTCTAGAGCCTGTGCTCTGCAACAAGAGAAGCCACCGCAATGAGAAGCCCGCGCACTGCAATGAAGAAGAGCCCCCACTCGCCACAACTAGAGGAAGCCCGCGCGCAGCAACGGAGACCCAATGCAGCCATAAATAAATACATTTATATATAAAAAAGGCAGTATATGTATAGTTTGTAACTCTTTTTTTCCCTCCTATATGATTTAAAAGACAACTGCGTAAAGCAATAATTATAAATCTATGTTGATGGGCTTACGATGTATAAAAATGTAATATGTACAACAGTGATAGCACAAAGGAGGGGGGAGGGAGTGGATCTATTAGGGGCAAAGTTTTGTACACTACTTAAATTAAGTTGGTACAAATTCTAACTGGATTGTTATAAGTTAAGATTTTAAGTATAATCCTTAGGAGAACCGCTAAGAAAAAAACATAAAATCTAGTCAAAGAAACGTCAAGAGAATTAAAATGTTACACTATAAAATATCTATTTAACATAAAAACGGCAATAATGGGGTAATAGAGGAAACAAAAAAGACATAAGACAAAGAATACAAATAGGAAAATGACAGGCATAAACCCTACCTTGTTGGTAATTACATTACATGTAAAAGGATTAAACATTTCAATCAAAGAGAGATTGGTAGAATGGATAAACTGCCCTGATCCAACTATATTTTGTTCACAGAAGACACACTTTATATTAAAAGACACAAATAGGTTGAAAAGAAAAGGATAGAAAAAGATATACCATGTAAACAGTAACCAAAAGAGAGCTGGAGTGACTATACTAATATCAGACAAAATAGACTTTAAGATAAAAATTGTGACTAGATGTAAAGAGGTACATTTTATAATGCTAAAAGGGTCAATCCATCAAGAAGATATAACAATTATAAGATTATATGCCCGTAACAACAGAGACTCAAAATATATGAAGCAAAATCTGACAAGAGTTGAAGGGAGAAATATACAATCCAACAGTAATAGCTGGAGATTTTAGCATTAGACTTTCAATAATTGATAGACTAACTAGACAGAAGCTCAGTGTGGAAATAAAAGTCTTGAACAACACTAACATACCACTATAGAACACTCCATCACAACAGCAGAATACATATTCCTCTCTAGTGCACATGGAACATTCTTCAGGATAAAACATATGTTAGGGTATAAAACTAGTATCAGTAAAGTTACAAGGATTTAAATCATAAAACTTATGTTCTCTGACCACAATGGAAGGAAATTAGAAATCAATAATGGAAGGAAATTTGGAAAATTCACAAATGTTTGGAAATTAAACAATACATTTCAAATAACCAATGGATCAAAAAAGAAATCCCAATGAAATTAGAGCAAAATTGGAATTAAGACAAATTGCCCCCTGAGAGCTCCAGGAAATAGTGTTTATCTAGAGCACAGTTTGCAAAATATCATCCCTGGGAGACACACTGCCCATGAAATCCTGCAGGAAATCAAGGAGCAGGGGCCTTGCTGAAGTGAGCTTCATCTCCTACCTACCCAATTCAAGTCCTAAGTCTGGCAAAGAGGCTTCCTGTTCTAATTTTTTTTTTTTTTTTTTTTTGCGGTACGCGGGCCTCTCACTGTCGTGGCCTCTCCCGTTGCGGAGCACAGGCTCCGGACGCGCAGGCTCAGCGGCCGTGGCTCACGGGCCCAGCCGCTCCGCGGCATGTGGGATCTTCCCGGAACGGGGCACGAACCCGTGTCTCCTGCATCGGCAGGCGGACTCTCAACCACTGCGCCACCAGGGAAGCCCTGTTCTCATTTTTGATTGTGAGGTTTTCCAGGCAGGACCCCAATGTTGGTGTCCACACACCCCACTAAATGCCAGCTGCTCAATCACTGTTGTCAACCAGCTAATTTGATTGATTTCCTCCCTCACTGCTGATGTATATTACTCGTCTGGTTCATCTGCCAGTTGGAAAAGGTGTGGCAGCTCCAGCTTCCAGAGGCCCTGCCTACTGTGTAGAGTCGGAGTGGGATTGGGGGCCATGTACAGAGGCTGAGGGAAGGCATGGGGCTCTGAGAGGAGACCGGGATGGACTAGGTGTCCCTTGTTATTCTCTGCTGCAATCACTTTCCTGCAGTGTGTTTCTGAAATCCTGACTGCAAATGTCACCTTGCACCCTGGGTTCCTCTGATGATGGTGGTGGTGTATGTGCTTGTGTTTCACATGAGCTTGCTCAGCTCTAGAAAGAGAAGTATTTCAAGATTTTTCTTTATTTAGTTATAAAAAAATACAGTATGTCCCATGCACCAGTGTAGCCAATATATATATAGTCATTATCACTAGAGCAATTACTACAATGATAGGAAATAGAAGGTTACAGAAATTTGTTTATCCAACTAAAAAACCTGAATTAAAATTATTAACCTAAATAGCAACTTGCTTATTATGCAAAAACCCTTATTCTATATGTTTGTGAGAGCTAGAAATGTATAAGTATTATTAGTAAAAAAAAAAAAAAAAAAAAAAAAAAGAAAAACTCGTTATTGGTTAAAAATAAGAAGTCAGTGTTATCTACAATCCCCTGAAGTGAGGGGCCTTGCCCAGAGCAGGAACCTTGGTCCATGACAAATGGTGAGTCAGAGAGTTTGCCTCCTTCCCCGCACCCCCGTTGAGTGATGCCACTTCCCTAAGGTGTGTTTGCAGTGGAAAGTTCCGTACGTGGCTGAAAGTGGAAGAGGAACAGGTGACCACTGGGCCTGAGCAGGGGCCTTGCCTTCTGTAGGGATGGGGCCCTGCTGGGGTTCCCTGAGATGTGGCAACAACGAGGTGTAAAGGCAAATGGCACAGCTGTGTTGCGCAGTCATGTTTGGGTTTGGACTTTGGCCAGAGTTGATGTGGGTCGCACCTTAAGTGCCTCTAAGTCACGAGATCAAGAGTAGATGGAGAGAAAGAAAAAAGAAAGAGACAGCATGAATGAGTGACCGGGCGAGGCAGGGAGAGGGCTTCTGCTCCGGGAACATCTGCCCCGCTTCCCAGGCAAAACTGGAGGGGTGTCGTGAGTCTCAAATTGGGGTCACAGCAACTCCTGGCCCTCTCTGGAGGGAGTGGGTGTGGAGGTGGCCCTCACCCTATGATCTGTGGTCTCGTTTGGTCTCCACTGTCCCTCCAGGATGAATTCACAGTTGCTTTAAAGTTCAACGAGCCATTTCCCTGACCTTGGATGAATTTTCAGTACACAGTACAGCATAGTTACAGGCATGGCGGGCCAACGAGGTCACCTCAAGACCCAAGGTCGGGAGATGTCAAGAGGCCCTTTCTCCATTTTGACAGGCCTGGGGAGAGGCTGCAGAATGCTGGGGGTCTTGGGAGGGTGTGAGGAATCTAAAGCAGTGCAGGCCTGGGGGGGGGGGGGGCCGCGCCCTCC